AATGCCAGGACTGGAAATCAAGATGCTCTCTGCAGGCTGGAGGAACAGCCTGAGACCCCCACAATGCCAGGAGCAGAACTGGCTACCAACACGCGGGTGGGAATGGCTTTGCAGGGATAGGGAAAGGACTGCAAAGTCACTGTGAACAAAGCTGAACCCCTCCCCGGGTGGTGGGTATGGGGCTGTGCTCCTGGTGTACAGGTTTCCTCAAATAGGGGCTGAAACACCACCACTGGCAGGAGGATGCTTGACTGACAGATCCTGGGGGGCTGCTTTGGGGAAGTGCCTTGGCAAGAGGCTGATGACATGACAGCATGGGTCAGAGCAGCCTCTGCCAACCCAAGGCTGTGCCAGCACCTTGAGTGGCTTGACCTGTGTGTTAGGGGACCCTGGGAATCTGGCAGGGTGAGTGGGACCTCATGCCATCTCCAGCAAGGGCCATAGGGCCATCCCAGCAGCACTGGGAAGCTCAGCTGCATGCCCACACCTGGAAGCCGAGCAAGGGGAGGGCAGGCATGGCATGGCACTGCTTCAAAAAACCTGTCCCTGGTACCGGCCTAGAGAACAGGAGAGAAGGCAGCTCTGCCCCCAGAGAAACCAGCCTCAGCCCCGTGGTTTTTAGAGGTCTCCCGAGCCTGCGCCCAGCCCTGGGCTCTGCAGAGCCACAGATACTCACAGGTGAGACAGGGAGGTGACATCTGTGAAGATGCCCTCGGGGAGGCTGGAGATGTCATTGCCGTGGAGAGACCTGCCGAGGACAGAGAGTCCTGCAATCCCCATGGCTCCAGGGTGTACCCTGCCCATGTACCCGCACCCAGCTCCGGGCAGGCGCAGGGGACACAGGGACACAGGCAGCAGCAGAGAAGGGCTCGTGCAGGGCTGCAGACAGGGCTACGGGCAGGTACTTACAGCAGCCGGAGGGAGCGGAGGCCCTCAAAGGCCAGCGGAGGGATGCACCGCAGGGAGTTGTAGCTGAGGATCCTGCGAAATGGAAGGAGGTAACACAGCACCGGGGGCATCGCTGCATGATCGCCCCCCAGCCACTCCCTGCCATCCCACACACCAGCCTCAGCTCAAACCACAGGTGGAGGAGGGGAGACCGTGATGTCCCCAGCAACCCCCATCTTTGGGGTCCCCGAGGAACAACGCCACAGGGACTACACTTACAGGGTGGTGAGCTGGCTCATGTTGGTGAAGGAGGAGTTGCCCAGGGAGCTGATCTTGTTGTTGCTCAGATCACTGGAAAACAGAAACCCCAGGGCTGGAGGCAGCTGGACCCTGTCCCACCTCACTGCTCCCCTGCCTGCTTAGCTGCAATGAGGTGTGAAGAGCAGCATGGCATGACCTCCGAGGGAGCAGCACGGCTGTCACACAGGGTGATGGCAGCAATGCCACTGTCCCCTCACTGCCTTGTGCCCAGACCCAGCAGAGGCTGTGAGCACCCGAGAGCTGAGCATCGCTGCTAGCCCGCTGTGTTCTGGTGTGGAGGGGGACGGCACAGAGGGCTGCCAGGGGTCCCTGCACACCACCAGGTCCCTCCTCAGGATCACACACCGTGGAGACAGCCCCTGTCCTCGTCCGCAGGTCCTAGCAGGGAATCATCTACCTTGGGTCCTGCTCACAGCTACTTACACAAGCTGCAGGTACTTGAAGGTGGAGAGCTGCCCTGGGACCTGAATGAACTGGTTTCCATCCAGGTAACTGCAAAGGAGAATGAAAGCACCTTGGAGTGGTGAAGAAGCAGGAGGTCCCTCCTGCCTCCTGCCTCCCTCCTGTTTCTTTTGTGCAGACACCCCGATGACTTCGGGCTGCAAGGAGCACCTCCAGCATCACCTCCCTCCTGGCACCCAGGGTCTGCAAGGCTCTCAGGGGACCCCTGGGCTGGCGGGAGAGCCAGCATATGAGTGTACTAGCATGGGGGTCCCGGGGGACAGCCTCCCAGCAGCCCGCATGTGTGAGCGCAGCCATCCATGTGCTGCATTTACACATCTGATGTGAACGTGGGTGGCTGTAACCGTTCCCAAGGCATGTGTGAGAGAGTGCGGAGGATGTGGAGAGAGGAGGGGTGTGCGAGACAGCGCCGGGGTGTGAGGGGGCGCTATACATATGCGTGTGCACAACCCTGCAGGCTGCTGGGGACTGCAGAGCCCTGGGCTGCACAGCTGTGTGGGGACTGCAGCTGCTGCGGGTTGGTGTCCCGCACTGCCCCCTTCCAAGGGTCAAAGAGCAGGGATCTGGCTGCTGTGACACTTCCACCTTGCACATCACCCTTGGTAGCCTTGAGTGGACAGAGAGGCTCTCACTGAGCCCCTTGCTGGGGTCAGGCCTGGACAGGGTCCCTTGGCTGGGTGGAGGGCCACTACCTGGCCAGGATCTCCATCCCAGGTACATCTCTGCCCCAACCCCAGCAACCCCACAGTAGAGACTCCCTGCCCAGTGCCATTAAATTAGAGGGAAAGCCTGGGCCCCCGCCTGCCACTCACAGCTCAGTGACGTTCTTGGGGATCCCCTTGGGCAGGGCCTTGAGGTGCTTGTTGCTGCAGCGGACGACGGTGTCCAGGCAGGTGCACTCCTGCGGGCACTGTGGCCGGGGGACACAGGTGGTCTCCTCCTGACCTGCATCAGGCATGGACACCCACAAAGTCACCAAAACCCAGCCCCTGGGCACCACGTGAGGCTGGACTCGGTGCCTTGCATCCTCCCAGGACAGGTCCCCTCGAGTGTCCAGCACCCACGCTGACCATCTCCCCTGCCTCTGATTTTCACCATTTTCAAGCAAATACACAGTCCTAGGGATGGCAGAGAGGAAGGCACAGAGGAAGGCGCTCAGCCCTGCAAATCCTCCTGAAAAAACCTCCATCACCTGTCTCCCAGATGCGGGACAGAAAGCGGAGCCTGCACCCAGCAGCTGGAGGAGTCGGCATTGATCCCCCTTCCCCGCCACAGTGCTGGGCTCCTGCAGAAGAGGCGTCCCTGGGACAACCGTATGTTAACTCACACCGCGAAGAAAGGCGCAGGATGCAACCCTTCAGGCTTTGACGAGGTGGAGGAGGGAAAGCAGAAGAAAAGATGATTTGTTTGTAAATATTTTCCAAGAGGGCTCAAAAAGCTGTTCTAGATTTAAGAAAATTTTTTAAAACTGCTTTTCTCTCAACACATGCACTCTCCACCAGCTCCGTCTGCCCGGCGCTGGCATGTGTGTGGGGCTGGGAGGGGAAGGAGGGAAGAAGCAGGATGAATCCTGGTGGGCTCTGCCTATGCATCCATGCAGTGCAGTGGATGTGAATTCCTCTCCCGGCTTCAGAGCAGCTACTGGGTATCTGAGTGCAGCCCTAAGGGCTGGGTATCATGATGGGAAACTCAAGCATCGTTATGAGAAGGTGTTAATGGGCTGAGGGACCCCTCGAGCTACCACCATGGGGCACTGCCAGACACCCTGGGAGCAGGGATGGTGCTGGGACAGGGAGCATGGTGATGGCCCAGGAGGAGCAGCCCAGTCCCCTCTTGCCCCCAGCGCCGCGGGGCCCGTGAGTTACCTTCCTCACACCTGAAGTCAGGGAAAGCCACGTCCTGGAGCGGGATCTGCCGCAGGAAGTCGGGGTTTTGGCAGCGTGGGTTCCCTGTCACAATCTTCCTCTTGCGCAGCCAGTCCCCCAGCCAGGCCAGCTGGCAGTTGCAATTGAAGGGGTTGGCGAGCAGGTTCCTACACCGAGGAGGGAGGGCGAGAGCATCATCTGAGTGGCAGCCAGGCAAGGGGAACTCCTGCAGTCCCTCACCACCATGAGGATGGCTTGGGATCCTCCCCCTCAGGGCCCAGGACGTACAGTGTGGAGAGGGACTGCAGCGTGTCAAAGGCGCCTGGTGCGATGGTGCTGATCTGGTTGTCGTACAGAGAGAGCAGGCGGACGTTGCGCAGCCCTGTGAAGCTGTCGTTGTGGATGCAGCTGATACGGTTGTTCCTCAGCATCCTACAGAGGGAAGGAGACGAGGGCACCTAACGACTGAGTGCCATGGGGGAAAACTGCCTTGGCAGTGCCAGGGATGTGCCCACGTCACTGCTGGGCAGCAGGATGAGCCTGAGCCCATTCCTGAGCAGCAAAAACCAGCCCTTGCCCTGGCTCTGGATA